TCTCTCTCTCTCTCTCTCTCTCTCTCTCTCTCTCTCTCTCTCTCTCTCTCTCTCTCTCTCTCTCTCTCTCTCTCTCTCTCTCTCTCGCCCCTCCCAAGTGTCCTCACTCGTTCCTCACCCGCCCGATGCGATTTGGCAAGGGGTGTGACATGAAGTGGCGCCTTGCCCAAGTGCGAGGCACAAGGCCTCTATACGGCCTACTTGGCCCTATCTTCAGCACAGACGGCCGCCCTAAGTGAAGGTAGGCTCGACTGAGGCCTACAGGCCATTTTTGGAATCACCACGCAACTGGGGAAATTCAGGCAGTTGCGCAGCGCCAGTTGGTTGAGAGCGCCCAGGCCCAGGCCGCCTCTTTTCAACGTAACGGAGGCAGGCCCTGGGCCAGATTCGCTAGATGGACCGAAGTCACCGAACACAAGCCACGGGCAGTTGGATACGGGCAACCACCACAGGCCCAGGGCCTGAATTGTTTGGACTGGGGCTCAGCCTCTCTGGGCCTACCGGAAGCTTCTAGGCAGGGGCCCAGCACAGCCAAGCTGCACGCAAGCAGGCAGGCCACTTTCATTTAGGAAAGTGCCTGCCCACGCATTCGGCATTCGGGCACTGGCTGCATGCTGCGCTAACGCTGGCCAGCGCTCACGCGCTCGCGGGCGAGCTGGAAGGACCAGGCAGCCATAGTCGAGTTGCGTTGCTGTATGCTGGATGGGGCACATGGTGGTCCTTGGGTGCATGTGGCATCTGTGAGTTGGGGAACGAGGTTGTGAGTGATACGAGAGACATACCTGGTGCTTGAAGCGTACGACATTGACCGAGATCTGCTCGTACTTCGGGGAGCTGTTGATGTCATCGCGTTGTCAAATATGAGCTTTTGTTGTGCTCTTTTTTGGAGAAACTCGTGATGCAATTTTGCCATTGGTTCGAGGTCACAACTATCTGGTCTCATGTGTATGATGCTGTTTGATTTCTGAAGTTTGCTATCGCTCATTTTCCTTGCAATTTGGTATCGGAGCTGTGGTAAGGTGCACTCATCCGGCGCTTGTCTTCTGCCTTTGCGGTACATGCACGCGGTCTGCTGGGCGAGCGGCCGTGGGAGGTGTGTAGTGAGGAGGGTGGAGACAAGTGGGGCGACCCAGGAGGTGAGGGGTATCGCCAGGAAGGCTACTCAGTGGTGAATATTGGGTGTTCCCAGAGTGATGAGAACTATCCGATGTGTGATTGATGCTGAGGTGGAATGGTGGTGCAATGCAGGTTGTGCCGAAGCAGCGATTGGTCATCACAATCAACATCGAGTCATTTGGTGAGAATATATGTGGTTGGGGGCAGCTATTTTGAGGTACGTTGCACCTAACCTTATCTACCCTCTTCGACACTTGTTACCGTGAGGATGTGTGTTCTGTCTTGAGAGTCCTCTCATGTGAGGAGTCGTGTGCACTCAACCTTGAGAGTCGTCAGTGTTCACGTGGAGCATCTGGAAGGAGAGGGCGGTGCTATCTGAAGGGCCCTGGACGAAGCACTGGTCACGGTCACCATGCCAACCCACCGGGAGTAGAGCACGCATGCTTTGCTGCTTTGTCCTTTGTCTGCTCGTTGCGCTATAGAGGGGTTCTGAAGGGCAGGTCGGCCCTATGGGAAAGACGAGACCGGATGTCTATAAATAAGTATCGGCGGGTACCTTCCATTGGCTGAGATCGTCGTCTTGTTTGCGATGTTAAATAATTCCTGAGGACTTCGGGGGTCGTCCATAAAAACGTCTCCTGATCAACCAATCGGTCGGTGTAAGGCTCGCTGCACGCGAGGATAAACACGATGAAGGGCTGGCCAGCTCGGCAGGACTCGGGGCACAGGGGTGGGCCGTGTGCACACCTTTAGACACGCATGCTGTTCAGATTGCTCAAGGACGTTGACGATAAGAGACATTCAGGACGAATTGAGGGAGGGGTAGATTCCGGAAGATAAGTTTGGGCAAGATTCCATTTTGCAAACAGACCCAACAAATGATTCTATTTTTACTTCGATTAGTTAGATGTACAACCATTAACATCTGACAGACAGCATAGTTATAACTGTTTTCTGTTCAATGTGCTTTCTTTTTGCGGACTAGTCAAAGTAAAATAGTTTTCGTTTGTAGGAATCAGAAGTTACTTGTTGAGTCCGAATGTATAGTCTCTGACCTAACCACTGATTACTTAGTTTATTTTAAATTGGTTTGTGCATGACGCTGCGGTAGGCATCGAATGAGTGTCCTAGTGCAGACAATGTGCAGTTTCGAAGCTTATGAGCGACAGGGAGGTCCCACAACCGGACGATAGGCTTTTGCGATCCGCAAGACGCCCTATAGCCCACTTCAGGGTTGTCCCGCGGGGATCCCCGGGGCCGGAGCCGGGGTGGGGGTTTCACCTCCGGACCCCGCAGCGGGGATCACCGACCCCCGCACCCCGCCATCCACCCCCGCCC